TCCAATGAAGACATACAAAGCTAATAGGCACACAAAAAAATGCTGAATATTGTTAATTATCAGAGAAATGCAAATCAAAACTACAGTGAGGTATCACCTCACACCAGTCAGCATGGCCATTATTAAAAAGTCCATAAATGGTAAATGCTGGAGATGGCGTGGAGAATAGGGAACCCTCCTACACTGTTGGTGGGAATGAAGTTTGGCACAGCTATTATGGAAAATAGTATGGAGATTCCTTAAAAAGCTAAAATAGACTTACCCTATGATCCAGCAATCTCACTCTGGGGCATATACCCAGAGGGAACTCTAATTCGAAAAGACACATAGAGGAGGGAGTATAGCTCAGCAGTAGAGTGCATGCATTGCATGCATGAGGTCCTGGGTACAATCTCCAGTACCTCTGTTAAAAAACAAATTAATATAAATAAATAAAACTAATTACCTGCCCCCCCCAAAAAAGAAGACACATGCACCACAATGTTTACAGTAGCACTATTTACAACAGACAAGACATTGAAACAACCTAAATATCCATCGACAGATCACTGGATAAAGAAGATGTGGTATATATATACACAATGAAATACTACTTAGCCATAAAAAATAAAATAATGCCATTTGCTGCAACACAAATGGACCTGAAGATTGTCATGCTACGTGAAGTAAGCCAGAAAGAGAAAGAAAAATACCATATGATATTGCTCACATGTGGAATCTTAAAAAATGACACAAATGAACTTATTTACAAAACAGAAACAGACTCAAGATACAGAAAACAAATTTATGGTTTCTGGGAGGAAAAGAGGGGAAGGGATAAATTGGGAGTTTGAGATTTGCAGATACTAACTACTATATATAAAATAGATAAATAACAAGTTTATACTATATAGCATAGGGAACTATATTCGGTACCTTGTAGTAACCTATAATGAAAAAGAATGTGAAAACAAATATACACTTGTACGTGTATGACTGAAACATTATGCTCTATACCAGAAACTGACACAACATTGTAAACTAACTATATTTCAATAAGTAAAAAAAATGTCTTCACAGATATTAAAAATGAAAACAAGGCAACCAACTTAAATTTCCAAGCAACTCACTGCTAACCAAGCGAGGAAAGCCACTTACTGAAGGTGATTTAATTGTGTTTGATTGCAGCAGCTGAAGAAGTCTGTCCAGAAAAAATAAATTTAAGACTATGGGCATTTGGGCGACAACAGCTGTTCTAAAAGTTAAGGACACTGCGAGCAACATCGACAGTCAACTGAAAATGAGGCAAAAGACTTGAAGTGATTTTCCTTGGCTCTTGCTGGATCCAGATGTCACCGTAACCACTGAGCTGGGAAGTGACTGAAGGCTGAGCCTCCGCACAATCTGAGAGGAACGACCAGCAACTCAAGCAAGAAAATTTAACTTGGCAGAACTGGAAGTGGAGTCCGCTAATATGCCCTACAATCACGGGCAGTGAGGTACACGTGGGGTGTGAAGAGGCTTCCGTGACTCATTAACAAACTTGTAGACAATGGGCTTCATCAAGCTTGATTTTCTACTGTATTATTCATCCACAAATACTCTGAGAAAAATACCCACATCTCTTACCATGCTGCATCTACTGAATCCATCAGCAATGTCGGCAGTGAACCTCATCTGCTCTCGGGCCCTGAACCAGGACGAAGAGACCCACGTTTGGAAACAGTTCTAGTGACAGGAACGTTAACTGTGAACCTCAGTTAAGCAAATGGTGCCCATTCTTTTCATCAATAGACTCACATTACAAATTATGATTACCTTTTGAACTTTGCCTGTGAAGAAACTGTAGAAGTTTATTTCTTGTGTTTGCCAAGATTCTGATTCTTTTTCCACACAACCTAAAATCCATACTATCTGGCTCTGTACAGAAAAAGTTATAAATCCCTGAAATGGACTATCACTATCTCCATTTTATACAGGAGGAGATGGAAAAGGTTCAGCAGCTCGACAGGCAGGCAGGCTAACTTCAGAAGGCATAGTCTTCACCACTGATCCACACCGCCTCCAACAACATATGAAATACAACGAATGGCATTAGAAGAAGACACTAAAGATAACACCCACGTGACAAAATCACATTTGTAAAACAAACTGTTTTGAAATAGAACCAGTCAGAGATAATGGGCTCAGGACCTGGTCAACATGTTGTAACAATAAGAAAATGATCATGTGAAACATAAAGAAAGATTAATCATTTCTTGGAAAGAGACAAAGTACGAAAAAGTAAAAGTCTGTATCAAAAGCATAAATTTAAGTCCCATTATTTCAAAAGTGAGACTTCATTATTAAGAGATTTGTAAAAGCAATTAAGTCTGAGGCCCTGAACAAGAAAACAAATCATCGCTAACCGAGACTGCCCTCAGCTAGTCTAAGGTGTCCTTTTTCTCTTGAGAGTGGAAAGAAGGCCACAGAAAGTATAAAAAACATACTATCTAATAAATGTATTGCAATCCTAGGAAACAAGAATAAAAATAATAAAAGACATTGAAACCCATGGTATTAGCAATTCTGTAACCAGCTTGGCCTTAAACAGTTAAATTTTAGAACTGTGCCTGGGGTTTGATGTCTTCCTAAGGCATTTAAAACACGGAGAAGGTGATGTCAGACTTTTCAGTTTAATTAAATATTCACAGTAATTTTTGATTAAGTAAGTTTGCAATTGACAGTAAATACTCAGGGACAGCTAATGTACTAAACTGATGTTTTACTTTATTAGTTGTGCAAACCATATAAGTATTGAAGAGTGTTGGTTCATGGTGAGAGGATGTCAATGGCCTGATAAATGTAAAAGGTGAACAGGACCTTGAACAGAGGCACTCAGTTATGGGTACACCGCCCCACACACAAAGTCTCCCTGGACATCAGTGAGTTAATCCACTGACTAGCAGATGGGCTCCATTTCCCAACCCCCTGGCCAGCCAGCCCAGCAAAGACCCTCAGGACACATGGTTCACACTAGCAGCTGGGAATCTACCCTGGGGAAGTGGGTAAGCAGATGCTGACGCAGCTGGGCCAGCCTAGCCCTAGTCTCTCCAGCGGTGTCCACACTGCGTGTTGCAGCACTTGTAGAAGGTGGTCATTGGTTCGTCTGCAGAGCGGGTCTGAAGCTGCATGAAATAGGCACGAGGATGTTCACATTTGGGACAGGGCTCTGGCAATGAGAAAAACAGACAAGTGACCCACATTTATTTTTTTAAAAATGATGCTCATGACCAATACACTTATTAGAAGTAGGTGCTATGCCAAAGGTAGCAAAGATATCCCCCATCCTCATCAGCTCACTGGGTATCCCTCACCCAGGGTACCTTCTACCACGATTTAAGGCATCATTCCTGCTATGCTCTCACTGAGAAAGGAGGAGACCTGGGATCCTGAAAACACGCCTCCTCCTCTCTCTGGGTCCCTTTTCCTCAAATCTGAAGACTGGTTCGAAACGTAACATAAGAGGTGACATGGCTGCTGTGTGCATTACAGGGTCCACACCCTGCCGACTCCCCTAAAAAGTGCACAAGCTCTCTTACCTTCCCAAAGGAGCGCCCAGCGTACGACCAACCTACTTGCCCATAAATTGAGGGATCCGTTTTGGGAGAAGTTCCCTGGGCTAGTCTCATCAAGATCTAACCACACATCCCACATTTTTTCAAAGTGTTCCAAGGCACATATTTACTTTCACTGTGATTTCAGTCTGAGAACCTTGCTCTTGATGGAAATGTCTTCAAACACTATCAAGCACCAGTTGGACATTTGGTATGTAATTCATCTTCTACTGATAAATCCTGCCAATACTAAATTTTTAACAAAGCAGGCCCGGATGTTCTTCTCTTGGGGTGAAAAGACAGCACGAATCCTACGTGAGCTCTCCCACCTCTCAGTGCAGGTCATGCCTCTTTCCTTCCTTGGTCACATCTATCTATATCAGAAATGAATCAGGACTAAAAATAAATACTTATTTTACTGGATATTTATGCAGTTTAATGCTCTCTACTATTAACTTTTAAAAATCTACATTAGAACAAAAAAGACAGTATTTTGCCCTTAGATTCTGATTTCTTATTACTCCAGTCTTTGTGGCTCTCATCACAGCTGCCACCTGTTGAATGCCTATTATATGCCAAACACTCACTTCATGATCTCACAATCTATGACTATGGATTTGCCCCAGAAAGGTTAAGGCCATATAATGAGAGGTCACTCTGAGACTCTAGATTAGGCCTGAGTAACTCCAAAACTTGTGCCAATATTGTTTGTGTAACAAATAAACTACTAAAGAAGAAAGCAAATACACTTTTTGCTTTTAAACGCCCACTGCACACAAGCATATCACAGACTCGACCCTGCTATGGCACAGTCAGCCGCCTCACACTCAACCACAGCTCACCTGCAGTAGAGTCGACATTCTCCCAAGCAGCTGCTCCACCGAGCACATCATCCACTTCTTTCAGCTTTGGGTACTTCCGATTTGTTACCTAACAAATGACGGCAAGTCTTCAGTAAGCGAACAGTATCCACCTGGGTCACCAAGCCCTACGCGCCCTCCAGCATCTCCCCAGACTTCGCTTCCTTCCTTCAACAAATACAACCAAATACAATTGAAAGCAAACAGGTGCACTCAGCCAGGTGGCCCAGCCACTGCCCTCAGGCAGAGAGCTTTCTAAGAAGGTCACAACTGGCTTCTTTTCCAAGATTTACCAGACATCCTTGAAATTTCAGGGTTACATAAAGAGTTCACTCTTTCCACAGTTTCAGGCTCTAAACTCCCACAACACAGTTATACAGTAGAACAAAAGAGGGGGGAAAATTGGAAAATTCCTGCCCTCCTGCAACCAAGCAGAACCCTATGGGGCCTTCCTGGGACAGACTCCTCCCCCCATGCCCTCTGCTTTAGCTCCTCTCCGAAGTACCTAGATAACGGTTGCAACAAATAACAGTATCTGATGCACATTTCCTGGGTTGTTTTACAGATGCTAAAATCCCCACCAAAAAGAGAAAGTTAAGTACTTGATGACCATGAGGACCTTGGCCTGAGGATTGATGCTCACCCCTGTGACACCACTCTGTTACCTCATCATCAATCAATCAGAGAATTATGCAGGATGTGATCACATACTCTGCAACTCCCCTCCAGCACCTTGACTTTAAAAATGCTTCCTTGAAATACACCAGGGAGTTCTAGCTTTTAGAGCATGAGCTGACCCAGTCTCCTCGTCTGGCGCCTTACCACAATTCAGTGTCAGTAGTTGGCTTTACTGTGCGGGGGCGAGCGGACCAGACCCAAGTTTGGTTCCCTAACACTCCTACAGTTTATATCCTAGTATTAAAGTGCGTAAGTCAATTAAGCCTGTTGGAAGGCAAGAGTCCCACGGGAAAAGTAGAAGTAGGGGAAAGAGTATAAAATGGAGAGACTGCAAATTTAAATAATCACTTAAATAAAAACACGAACGAGAGACACAGGTACCCAAAGGGAAGAGTGGACCGGACAAAAACCCGTGCACAGGGTCTGGTGGTAGCGTCACGTGCAAGACCGCAGAGCCTCCGAGAAGCCGGCGTTGCTGGGCAGAGAGCGTCAGGAAGGGAAATCGGAGCAGGAGAACAGGACAGGACTGGGGAAGGCCTGGGTCCGGGCCTGGTAGACCCGTGAGAATGTCAGCTTCCGCTCCTCGCGCCGGACAGGGAGGTCCGGCTGGGACCCACCTTGCGGGTGATGTTGTGCACGTAGGGGCAGGTGTTGCAGGCGAAGCGGTGGCAGCGCTGCCCCTCCTCTACGATCAGCCCGTTCCCGCAGCCCGGGCAAAAGAGCAGCATCTCGGCTGACCGGCCCGGTGTTCCCGGCAGCTCCCGCAGCGGCTCAGCGCAGCCAGCCAGACGCGCCGAACTCCTACTCGTCCGGGCAGCCGCCCCGCCCCTCAGCCCACCAATAGACACGCCGATTCCGCGCTCCCAGTGAGCACTGCGGCAGGCCATCTCCCAGAGACTCACTTCCCATTGGTGCTCGAGGTAGCCCCGCCCCTCAGCGTCCCGGAGGTGTAGCTGTGTCTCCTCTAACGCGCGGAGTTGAGGTGTTGGCGGAGCCTGCGGGCGGCGAGGCGCCCTGGAGGCAGCGGAGGCGTCTGCGCGGCCCGAGCCGCAAGAAGAGGAGGAGGACGAGGAGGAGGCGCTGCCTCACTCCGAGGCGGTAGACGTGTTCCAGGAGGGTCTGGCCATGGTGGTGCAGGACCCGCTGCTCTGCGACCTTCCGATCCAGGTGCGGGCGGGGCGGGGGCCTTCCTATCGAGGCGGTGTGTTGGGGCGCGGACGGACCCCGGGGGTGCCGATGGCGGGCTGCGGCCCAAAGGACTGGAGAAGACGCCTCCGGGCGTAAATGCGGGTTTTAGCCCCGGCCGGGCGTGGAGGGGCGAGGGAGGCTCTCGCCTCGGGGGCGTAATTTAAAGGGGTGCCAAAAACCCACTGGTCAGGACACGTGACATGTCAGTGCAGTGTTTTTAAAACGCAAAGTTTGTGTAAAAAAGCCTATGATAGGCAAAGTAATATAATTTCAAATAAAAACAAGATCTGTATTACTGGTTTTTTCCTTCTCAATCTTCAGTATGGTTTGGTAGGGTCCAGCTTTTAATCCTTGTTATTTTCCGTCATGGAATTTTTAACTCCTATTTCCTTAACACTTGTATTAAGATGTTGATCATTACCGTTTTTTGGTGACCCGGTAAATTTTGCACCCCTGCCTCAGTCTTATGTGAGGCCCTGGCCTGGGTCCTGGTGGTCAGGGGATCTCAGGCTGGACAGTCAGGCCGAATGTCCATCCTCCCACCCAGCACCCAGGCTGGAGGAGCCAGGGGCTGATTCTCAAGTTGGTCCATTCTCCTTGTCTGTTTCTTTGCTCTTCTTTCTCCCAAGTCTCTGTCCACTTAATAGAAAACGTGGGTGGGACACGAGATTGAGGTGCTGAAAAACTGGGAAACTCTCACATATGAGCAAGAACCTTGAAAAAATATAGCATCACTTGTTGAACACTATCGCCTTGTTTTCCTTTATTGTTGGTCTGAGTGGTAGGGTTCCCACCACCACCCTTGGTCTTTTCTAGGTTACTTTGGAAGAGGTCAATTCCCAAATAGCACTAGAATATGGCCAAGCAATGACGGTCCGAGTGTGCAAGATGGATGGAGAAGTAATGCGTAAGTGCTGCCCTCCCTTGAGGCCGTGCAGTTTCAACTTTCACAGGGAAAGATGTTAGCAGGACTGGTCAGTGGGAAACTCAGGGCAGTGTCTAGAGGTGTTGGGGCAGCCACAAGCCCAGCCTGCCCAGACTTGAGCCTCGGGAGGAAACAGAACTTCAGTGTTCCTCTCTAGCTGTCTGAGGCTGTGGCTGCAGGTTCCCACCATGGTTTTTCTCCCATTTGTGTCCCTGGTTGCAGCTGTGGTTGTAGTCCAGAATGCCACGGTCCTCGACCTGAAGAAGGCCATCCAGCGATACGTGCAGCTCAGGCAGGAGCGTGAAGGGGGCATTCAGCACATCAGCTGGTAGGTGGGGCGGCCAGCAGCTCCTGCTTGCAGCCCTTCACGGGAGCTGGTGTGGGACTCCACACGAGCACTTGCTGTCACCTGGGCTCTGCTACAGAGTGCAGGTGGAAGCCACAGGCTCCCTGTCCTGAGCCTTCAGACAGGGCAGGTGCTTTTGTGCCTCCATCACCCTCCCTGGGGAAGCTGCCATCTGGGCAGCTGGATATCTTCACATTGGGACACCCTGGGGCATTTCCAGTGTGTCTGGAAGTGGTTTCCCTAGTGACAGATGGTACGGCTGCCAGCTCCTCACCTGGGTCCTCACCCTCAGTTTCCTGTTAGCCGTGTCTTGGTACTGCCACCTGTTTCATTAGCCAGGTGTGTTTGGCCCCCAGCCACCCCATGCATCCCTTTGAGATCAGTGCCTTCTTGTACCTGCCTCACACCTGGTACACACGTGGTACAGGAAAATAGCCTGGAGGAGACTGGCTGCCTCAGGACCTGCAGGGCTGAGCGCCTTGAGTCATCCTCATGCCCAGCATCTGCATCCCAGCTGCCCTGCTTACCCTGTTCATGGTTTACTGAGTCCTCATCTTACAGGTCCTATGTGTGGAGGACATACCATCTGACCTCCGCAGGAGAGAAACTCACAGAGGACCGGAAGAAGCTCCGAGAGTAAGTTCAGGCTGTCTTGAGCTGCAGGGAGGTATCTGTTCTGTGGCTTTCTTACTCCCCATGCTCTGCCATAGGGCTGGGATCCCCTCCAGGTGCTTTTAAAGGAAGGAAGGATCTTAAATCACTTCCTGGGGAATGTGTGAGGCCAGGAAAGTCCCTGGTTGGACTGACGCCCTCCTGCAAGGAGCTTCCTGGAGGCCTCCCTGCTAGAACAGGAGGCAGAGGAGCAACGGAAGGGGATGGGGTCCTGCTGCTTCTCACCAGAGGCAGTTCAGGGCTGCAGAGCCAGGGGAAGAGAAATAAGAGCGTGCGTGGGGGTGGGAGGATGACCACTGCCACCTCCTTACCTTCCTGAACACCATGCTCTTTCCACCTGCTTTCTCTCAGTCCCTCACCAGCCTCAGGTGAGGATTCACAAATGTGCCCTTCTGTAGATTGGACACTTCATGCCCTTCCTTCTCTTTCAGCTATGGTATCCGGAATCGGGATGAGGTATCCTTCATCAAAAAGCTGAGACAAAAGTGAATCTCCAGACAAGGACAATTCTGAGTCTTGAGCTCACCTCACCCCAGATGGGCCCAACTGGACTATCAGCATGAATCCTTATCACACGGCAGATTCCACAGGGCTGGGAGCCTGGCCCTGTGCACAGAATAAACCTATTTTTGCTTAGTCTGCGAAGTCAAGCCACAGTTCCAGGGGCAGAAGGGACTGGCACTGCCCCATCAGAGATGGGAGGCAGAGGCAGAGACTGGTGGTGGGTGAGTCCCAAAGTCTGAGATGCTACACCTGAAGCTTGGGCCACCCCTCTCCCCAAACCACACGAGCCTGTCACTCTGATGTCTACAGCCAGGAGGAAGTAAAAACACAGTGACTAGCTTTCTGTTTCTGCTTGTGGGGACACAGGGGGCCTGCAGTCTGAGCCCAGCCGTGGACAGGGCCTCCAGCTTCAGCCCATGGGGCCCACCCACAACAGTGTCTTCAGTGGCTCCTGGAAAGGGAGGTAGCCTGGGGCTGGAATTGGGAGCAGGTGGCTGGGCAGGGGCGGCTGGGATGGGGTGCTCCTCGGTGTGCATGGGGAGGTGGGACAGCATACTCGTCTATCCTCGTCCCATCGTTGCCTACCAGTTAGTCATTCTATAGAATGGGGATGGGGCGTGTCCACCTGACTGACGGTGTCACTGGGAGATGCATTTGACACTTGGTTCCCTATTCTGAGGAATTGACCTGAGAGACCTCCCTCCAGAGCCCCTGGCCAGAAACCAGAAAGGAGAAGCAGCTGTGGTCAAGTTAGTGGCAGCTAAAACGCTCCCGGTCCATTTATTGGCCACGTGAGGTGGTCGTCGAGAGACAAGTTAGAGGATCATGGCAGGAACTAGTGTAAGAAATGCAGGGAAGTACGAGAGGTTCACCAGCAGTGAACAAGGCACAAGGGGTCTGTGTTTGGGAATCGGCGCTCGCAGAGTCCCTTGCCCACGGGTCAGGCTCTGCCCACTGGAGCGTGTGGCCCCAGCGCCCCCGCCCGCTCAGTGGAGCTGAGCGTCCAGCTCATACTTCTCGCAGAACTTGTCAGTGAAGGGGATGCAGGTGAGGAACTCACACCACTCACAGCGGACAGGGTAGAAGTAGAAGAGGACCACCAGGCCAGCCAGGAGGCCCAGGAAGACCACCTGGAAGACGATGATCTGGCAGCGCTTGCGGTACAGGTCGAACTTGCCGAAGCTGATATAGGGCAGGAAGGCAAAGGAGAGGAAGAGGCCGCTGATGAAGCCCGAGATGTGGGCAAAGTTGTCGATCCAGGGTAGCAGCCCGAAGGTGAAGAGGAAGAGCACCACGGCCAGCAGCTTGAAGAAGGCCCGCCAGGGTCGTGCCAGGATCTGCCAGCTCTGGAAGAGCTCCACGAAGAGGCAGGCCAGGATGCCGAACTGTGAGCCGGCTGGGCCCACCTGGGGGTGGGTGGGTGGTGTGAGCCGGCGGGCCTGAGCAGGCCCCTGTACCCCAAGCCTGTCTTCCCACCTCCCGTGGCCCAGAGCGTATCAGGATGGAGGAGCCAAGTGGAGGGGCTCGAGCAGCTCTGTGCTGATGTGGACCCAGCTCCTGCCAGGCCACAGGTGCACACGGGAGGGCCCCACCCTGAGGCTGCCTTACCTCCGCCCGGTATGGCAGGAAGATGGCACTGGCCAGGTTACCAGTGATACCACTCAGCAGGTAGATGATGGCTATGCGGTGCCAGCCGGCCAGCTTCTCCAGGTCCCGCAGGACAGTCATCTGGAAGCAGACAGATACCAGGCAGTGCAGGATCCTGTAGGGGCGGGAGTGGGGGACACTCAGGGAAGGTCAGCCAGCTACTTCTAGGGTCCTTGAGACCGCCCACCTCACCCCACCCCACCCCGCTCAGCCCACAGTGTCACTTGCCCAGCGTGCAAGAAGAGGGACAGCCACAGGCGGTAGAACTGGTCAGGCACCTCGGGGTTGAGGAAGGGCAGGAGCCCACACACGTCGTCCATGCAGTGTACCTGTGCAGAGGGCCCATCAGCTCCCACCGCAGCTAGGGGGAGAGGAGAGGGACCCTCACCCCAGAGGCCTACCTGAGAGCAGAGTGTGGCTTCCTCATGGAAGTAGCCCCTCATGAAGTCACAGTACTCCCGGGAGGTGATCTCACACCTACAAGGTCAGGCAGGGTTGGGAGGACTGACAGAGGGAGACTCGCTGGGACCTAGGCCCTGGCTTCAGCCCCGCTTGCCCACCTTTGCTGGCCCTGGATAAGTCCAGACCCTTTGTCACCGCACACCCCCTGGTGTCGGGTTTTGGGGGACTTGGTAGCGGAGAAGGGCCCAGCCCAAGGGCAACAATCTGTGCCCAGAACCAGCTGCACATGCACACACAGGCACCCCTACCTGCCCTTGGTGCCAATGCAGCAGGGCCGGCCCGTGATGACACAGTCCATGTGAGGGTGGTTCGTGTGGTTGCCAGCGCTGTTTTTGGTGCAGATCTGGGTCACAAATGGGGATAAGTTGGGTCAAGTCCTCCCCTAACCCTGGGCCCTTCACCATGCTTGGTCGGGGCAATGATGGACAGGCTCCTAGGGTAGGAAACAGGCCTCCCTTGACTACAAGCAGGCTTCAAGCTGAACCTCAGTTGGACCATCTGTCAAACTGGAAAAATGTCATTTGACCTCCCAAGTCTCCACCTGGTTTTGCTCTGACTACCTGCTCAGAGAAGCATTGGTGGATGGACAGGCTGGCTTAAAGGCCATGGTGTAGCATCTGAAAACACAGGGAGGTCCCACAATAGGGACTTCTCTGCCATTACTAATGGGTAAGGTATCATTTCCTCCCCACCAAAACAAAGGTGACTTCCCAAGAACCCCTTCACCCCAGCTCACCGGCCACTTGGTGATGTCATCGGGCCACTCATGGGGGTCCTCGGAGGAAGGCTCGTCACACACCCTGCATGACCCCAGGATGTGGTCAGACCTTGCTTTGTGCCCTTGGCTTAGCACTTGCCCACCCTACTCCCAAGAGAGACACAAACAAAGGGGGGAGCCAGCAGCACTGACCTGGGGTCCTGATGGCAGACAGAGCCGAACTGCCTTTTGTGGCCATCAAGGTCTGGGGCACTGGGATGGAAGGGCCACTTCACCCACACTGCCAGCGTGGACTGTGGGAGGACACAGGGTCAGCCCCTGGGCAGAGCCCACCCCTCTCCCAGGGCCATCTCCAGGAGGCAGGTATCAAAAGTAAAACCACTGAGTTCCTCCTCCCGACTGTACAACCCAACCTCTATGAATTGACACTCTGGGAATGTGCAGACCTGTTGGGAGATTGTTATAAGTTCAACAGCATAATTTCTATTAGCTTAAAAACAGAAACAACTTGTATCCGAAATCAGGAAACTGCACATAAGATTAAAAAAAACTTGGGTGAAATTTTAAGACTGTTTAGTGGGAAAAATAAGGCAATACAACTTATGTAAACTTAAGACACATACAAAAAAGTAAGATGGACACGTGGGGAAAGAGAGCACCCTAATTAAGGGCATGCTGTCTACAGGGCCACCAGCAGAAATGGAGGTTGGGATGAAAAGGGGAGAATGTGAGGTGAGGGGCCTTCCAAAGACCAATGGAATAACATTCTGAGAACTAGGAGTTGAGGACAGCTCAACCGGCTCTATCTGAAATTTCAAGGGAACCACAAACACAAGGAGCAGACCAGGCCGCCAGCAGCTGGTAGGGCACGCACCGAGCACTCTTCCTCCGAGGTCTGCACGCAGCCAGATCGGTCGTTGCGCACGCAGCAGGCCGAATGCTTTTCGCGTTCACGCGCAGCGTGGATGAAACTATGCACCTGCGGATCCTGGCGCATGCAGGGCGAGAACTTGGCACCCAGGTGAATGAGAGCCTCCTGCAGGGGAATGGGATGTGCCGCTGCAGCTGCGGCCCGGCCCTTGCCAGCTCAGGGTCTCCGCCCCTCATGGCCAGGCCCCGCCCCCTCCAGGCCCCGCCCTCACCGAGCTGGGCCCGATCCAGAAGTTCTCCTGCTGCACGTACTTGACATTCTCATAGACCCCGCGGTTCCGCAGCACCTGGGACATTGGGGAGAAAGTTCAGACGGAGCTCAGTTGGGCCCTCTCCTCCCAGAATAGGAGGGCGGGAGCCCAGAGCCCAGCTCTCACAGGAGGGCACCCAGGCTCACCGAGTCCACGGTCTCGTGCTGTGAGAAGCCTACCGGTGCTATACCATAGATGCACACGGCTAGAATGGTGACGAGTGAGTGCACGAAGGTGAGCCAGTAGGTGAAGAAAGGCCTGCGGGGCAAATTGTCAGGAGAGGCAGCATCCTCCACCAGAAGCCCCCACCCCCAACCTGGAGCCTTGCCTGCCAGAAGCCACATCCCCTCCATGCCTACCTGTGGTCGTCCATGTCCTCAATCTGCCGTTTGACATAGCTGTCAATTCGCTTGCGGTAAGTGCGGTTGGTGAGCCGGCCCACCATGCCCAGCCCGTAGGGCCGCTTCTCCCTGGCGAAGAACTTGCGCACCGGCATCGCGATGCGCTGGCCACGCCGCTGCCCCACTGTGCTCACCACCTCCTGCCGCAGCCGCACCTTGGGCTGCGAGGCCGCCGCACCACCCTCCTTCTGCTTGCGCCAGCCACGTTCCAGAGGCCTGGGGGAAGGAATGCTGTCACTTCCAGCCCGAGACTTCCCACCTGCTGCAGTCCATTCCCTGCAGGAGGAGGGCAGTCCTGCGTCTTTTGCTCCCATCCAACAGTGAAGATACTGAGTGACAGGCTGATGTCAACAGCAGCCTCCTCCTTACCAGTAAAACAGCAATCTTGAGCCGCTCCGGGTATGGCAGGGAGGTGGGAACTGGACCTACATGAGGTTCCCTGGCCCATCTACAGGTATTAACTACATCACCTCCCTCACCCCCACCCCACCCCTAGTTGGATTCTCTCCAGCCTGTGGGCTGTGGGACTGCCGTCGTGTTTCTGGTGTGGGCCGCCAAGGCTCGAACTGTGCCCAGTCCTGGGTCCCCCAGTCGCAGTTGCCAAGCTGGGCTCCCAGTCCTCGAGACGACTTCACCCCTTGGCCCTCAAGGGTGTCATGACCTCGTGCCCAGAGGTCCCCGACAGCAGCAGGGCCTCCCCTCAACCCTTCCCCAGCCTGCAGGGAATCACTCACAACATCAAATGGCTGCGCTCAAGCTCGCTGCGGTCCAGGGCCCCGCCCGTGAGGTCCGCCTGCTCTGGGGCTTTCTCCCACTCCTTGAGCGCTGCCTCTGATGGGGATTCAAACACCTCGTCCGGGTACGTGGACAGCTCCTCGTGGAGGACACCTTCCTGAGCAAACACGCGCAGTCAGCGTGAGACGCACAGGCGAAGGGGTCACAGGTGATGCCCACAGGCTCTTACCCGAGCAAAGAAGGACGTGTCTAGCTCGTCGGGGAAGTCAGCTGTGTCCTCCTCCAAGAAGCTGGCAGGAGTGAAGCTTCGGCGCTGCACTCGGCGCAAGGTGCCATCCCTAACCGAGCGGCCCTGCCAGCGAAGGGGTGAGCGAGCACGAGGCGTGGTGCCGGCTCGGCCCCACCCCCAGCCCAGCCCCCTGCACCCACCTTCACCAGCGCAGCGGCCGCCCGGAAGCTCATCTTGGCCACCGACTCGCGCTTGCGCCGCCGTGGGAGCCGGTTGAAACCAGAGCGGGAGCTGGAGAAGGAGCAGAGGGAAGCAGCACCCGGTGTGACAGGCGTGTGCGGGGCACTCAGGCCATCGGTGGCGTCATCTGCCAAGCGGAAGGCCCGGCCCCGGGCCAGGGGGTCTATGATCTGGAGGAGGGGAGGAGATGCCGGAGTCAGGCGCTGGGTGGTTGCGGAGGAGGTGCCTTCCCTTCCCCAGACCCCACTGTGGAGAACACAGTTGCTGCTCCTCTCATGCCCCAATAGGTCCCCTGGACAGCTAAGTGGGTACCACCTCACCCCACTGGGCTGATGGGTCCCTCTCTCCACCTATATTTCGTGTACTAAGCTGTTCACCCTGGGCACGGGCTGTACAATCCCAGGACCCTGTCATTTCCCCCAAAACCCCCTCCCCTGAGGGTATCTTAGGTGCCTTTATGGGACCAACCTCCCAGACCACAAGCTCCAAGCAACCTCCTTTGCTTAGGCTGGCCATGTCCCCAACCCTGGTTCAGGGGAGCAGAGTAGAGGGCCTATGGGAGGCAGCAGCAGCAGCAGAAGAGCATACCTTCTGCATGCCCAGCTGGCATGGCCCCACATACAGTGGAGGGGGCGTCTCAGTGCTGGTCAGCGACACGTTGTCCTGGCTGGGCAGGTCCAGCTCCCGGATGACCTGGGGCTTCAGCTTCCCATAGCGCTGGCTGCAGTGACGGATGCTCTTGCGCTGCCACTTCTGGGTGCTGTCATTGTCCTTGCTCACTCCAAACCAGTCAGCAGTGCCCCTGCCACGGGAGGGAGTCAGCAAGGGGAAGCCAGCTCTCCCCTCTCCCCAGCAGGGGCCTCACAGGCACCCCATCTGGGCACTGTGCCTACCCCAGGCCTCCTGTAACTCCAGGGTCTGGGGTCCAGGTGGGCTGGGTCTGATTCAGAGAATAAGTAGGCTTCAGCCTTGGCCCCCCAGTAAACAATTAGCCAAATCCAGCTTGCCACTAGCACCATAGCTGACAGGCCTGTGTGAAAAAGGTGAGTGTTTCACACAGGCCCTCATCCTCATCCCTGAATTGGGGGTTTGTGGGTAGACACTGAGCCACGAGATAGAATTCAGAGTTCAGCCCTCAGCTCAGCCAGAGAAAGCTCAGCCCTGGGCAGCAGCTTGACCTCAGATGCCACAGAACCCAGGCAGTGGGCGCTGTAAACTCAGGCAGGCTGCCCCCAGCCCTTGGACATATGCACAAAAATGCTGCCAGCACCTGCCATTAGGAGCCCCCAGGGAACACCAACCACGCTGGCAGCTCCCGAGAGGTCATAAGCCATGCACACGCCAGCTGATGCCAACACACTCATGCCCTGCCCACGGTACCTGAGCAGGGACCGAGAGAGAGACGGGCGCTGCGTGAGGGCCCTGCGGGCAGCGGGGGGACCCGAGAGGGGCAGAGTGTGGACACGCCCAAAGCGCACCTGTCGGCTGTCCGGGGGCCAGAGCATTTGGGTGGGGGAGACAGAGAGGAGAGAGCAAGTGCTGGGGGAGAGCAGAGAAAGGTGGTAGGTAATAGCTTTTGGTCCCCAGAGCAGGAAAAGGACAGGGTGACATGGGGGACAGATGGAGGAGGAAGCCGAGACAAGAGGGGCCTCTGCTCCATCCCCAGCCCCGGGACCCAAAGGGGGCTCTGTGTGCCTGCCTCTGCCCCACCAGCCCCCAGCCCCCAACCCCGGAGCAGCCAGGATGGACGGGTACCTGCGGATGGTCTGCGTGATGGACATCTGGCGTTGCAGTACTGGCCGCCGGGGCTCATGGTGGGGTGAGGGCAGATGGGCAGTCTCGGCTGGCATACTCACACTCCGCAAGAATGCCTGGCGTCTTAGGGGCTGGGCGACGGGGTCACGGTGAGGGGGCTGGACAGGGTGGCCCCACAGCCCCTGCTGGCCAGGGCCTACCTGCAGGAAGCTGGGCTCCTCGGCAGCCGGGGGCGCCACAGCTGGGATATCTAGCTTCAGCCACGGTGGCTTCTTCCGCTGCAGGCTGCTGGTGCTGTCCCTGCGGACCTCGCTCATGGTTCCAAGCAGAGCAGGGCGGGCCTAGAGGGTGCGGCGGGTTATTCAGTAACAATGCTGACAGGTCTCTGAAGGTTCATGGGGCTCCCAGGAGGATAGGGAAGCAGTGATGACCCCAGGGGGAGGGAGGCCCAGCTCCCATTGCCAAAGTGCTAGGATGTGCTCAGCACTGACACGCTTGGCACCTGCCTCTGTCATCCCAAAAGATATTGCCAGGCACATACTAGGTCCTCAGACGAGAAATTCATGGGACACGTAGTTAACAACCTGCTATAAGCCACTCCTAGGTGCTTATGTTGGTGGGGAAACAAGGAAACCAAAACAGACAAAGTCCCAGCACTCCTGGAGCTTCTAGTGCAGACAAACAATACACCTGTAAGTAGACGGAAGGTGCTAAAAGATGCAAAGGGTGATAGGGATAAGATAGTACGCTCCGGTTTCCAGAGGCAGTGATGCCTCCCAGCGAGATGACATCAGAGCAAAGGCTTCCAAGGTGATGTAGTGAGCAAGAGTAGGGGGGCGGGGTGATCCTCACACAGAGAGCGAGGCCAGTGCAGAGGTATGAGTGAGCATGAGGACACAGGCAGGCCCCGACAGTACATTGGGGCAAATCTCAAGCCTGGTGACCCAGACCTCACTCTCTTAACCACCATGACAGCTGTTCCAGAAACAGAGGACCCACAACAGGGGTGCGTGATCCCTCCAACTCATGGAGGGACCACATGGTTTCCAGGGTCCAAGAGCTCCAACAGCCAAGGGACCACCTGAAAACCACCAGGTGAAAACACAGCCATGACCACCAGGGGGCGCCACATGCCCAGAAACAGCAGCAAAGAAGCTGAGCGTGGGAGGGTGGCCTGCTCCGCAGCATCTGAGAGCTCTACCTCGTATCACCTTGGCACAGGGGAACGGACCAGGACCCGGAAGAGAGAGGCCACCACCGCTTCTCCATGTAATGTTGAGCACTGGCCTCCTTGGTACTATTTTCCCCTTCACCAAACACCACTTTCAAGGTTAGGGTTAGGGTCCTGTCCCCAAAGGAGGAGCACAAGGGGTCTGGAAATAGGACAACCAACCAAGACAGGAGGTTCCTGAGCACAGTGGAACAAGGATAGCAGGAGAGCAATTCTAGGAGGGCCAAGAAACCCAAATCCCTAGGCCTCCTCAAAGGGCTTCAGACCCTGACAGCTTCTGAACAGCGGTGTCTGTAACCCATCTGTTCATATCCCCAGAAACAGCTTCCAATTCTGAGCCTCCCTCTCAAATGCTTGGAGGAGATACTCTTCCTATTTGTAAAGTAAGAGTAAGCCCCATTCTTACTTTACAAATGGGGAAACTGAGGCCTAGAAGGAAGGCCTGCCTGGTCCAAGGTCACATATTCAGGGCAGCATAATTAGGGACACAGCTGCTACTGGACTTACACAGACCAGGGAAGGGCCGGGACCCTGCTTAGAGCAACTCCCAGCTAGGTACTGACCTGGGGATGTCCAAGGAGGCCACTCACTCTTGTACACAGACCGGGGAGGGCACAGCACACGGCTCCTCCTGGCCCCACACAAAAAACAGGCAGCCCCACATCCTGCTTACAGCTGCTACCAGCCCCAGGCCACCCACAGACATGCCCAGGACAGTACTCACAGCTTCTAGTGGTCTTATGACAACTGGGGTCCCACCCAGGACCCAGCACCAGGTCCCACTGGCCCTGTACCAGACAGGGCCAGGCCTGAACATTGATCCATTGATCATAGTTCCGACTGGCTCTATACCGACCAGGGGTAGGCCCACGACACTACTCACTCC